TGCCCCAGGTAATGACACCTTCCAATCATTAAACACATCATCATCAACAACAGGGCTGGCCTAACCTCCTGGCCCAAACACCTGGGAAAACAGCCAGGTCTTCAAAGCCTTACAAAAGGCCAATAGGGTCAAGGTCATTTGGATCTCTAAGGGAATGCTGTTCCACAAGGCAGTCACAGCCACAGAGAAGGCGCAACATTTGGTAGCTTGTGAGATCTGGAAGACTCAATCTTTGGAAGTTCTGGTTTCTCCATCACTAGAAGTTTTTAATAAGAGGCTGAACAACCACCTTTCAAGAAGGGCTTAATTGGTTTGTCTGTACATTGCAGAGGGCTGGATTAGGTGATCCTTATGGTCCCTTACGAATCCCCAGTTCTATGGTTCTAGGAAACAATGTAAGTTTGATATAAATTTGAAGCATGTTTTCTAGATTTACAAATGTTTTGTTTTTAGTTACAATATATCACTCATTTTGAAATTTCAGGCAAAATTATTGAAGGAGACATAATATACTTATGTTCATTAAAAAGGGGCATGGGTTCCAAAAGACTGAGAAAAATTATTTTAGAGCAGTGTTTCTCACACTTGGCCACTTGAAGATGTGAGGACTTCAACTCCCAGAATTCCCCAGCCAGCCATGCTGGCTGAGGAATTCTGGGAGTTGAAGTTCACACGTCTTAAAATTGCTGAGGTTGAGAAACACTGTTTTAGACTATTGTAACTATAATATAGTTTGTGGACAGGGAAGCCTTTTGCACTTAGGGGATATTTGGGGGGCCAAAGACAAAGCTGCAAATTTCTGGTTCATTTTTCTGAGGCGGGGTTTGCAAGGGTGGGGCCATTTTAAAGTTGGTCCTCGAAGCTATCTGATACTTGACAGACTCTTCATCCAAGATTTCAAGGTGATCTGGAATCAAAGATTGAAGGTAGGAAAGGATGCATCCAGCCCATGAGTTGCCCAAACCTGATATGAACTAGACGTGTAGGAGCTGAACAAGAACACACATATGCACACGCACAAATGTCAGTGATTGGTGATAAGCTGCTGTGACCCCTGATATCAACAATGGCAACTTGGCACAGCATTCCCTGTGGAGGCCTAGCAGGTGTTTGGAGAGACCTGCTTCATCTCAGAGGACTACTTGTCCAGCAAATTCAATTCAGCCTTTAGCCCGCCATTAGTATGTCAGGACAGATCCATCTTCCCAGTCCATTGCAGTGCAAGCAGAAACTGCCCACTATTTCTGGAGGGCAGGTATTGATATGAATTCTGCCACTTTCCCTCTTCTAGCCCAAGTGACAGGAAAAGTGATAAAACTGTGGGGGAGGGTAAAGAAACAAGGGAACTCTCAAAATGTGGTAAACCCGATCTGGACCTAACATCAAGTCATTGCCAGGGCCAAAACAAAGGAGGGGGCTGAAATCTTGAAAGAAATGTCTTAAGTCTTTATGACTTCCGGCCAGCTTACACATGAAAGGTAGGCAGCTGAAGGCAACTGTGTGGAAAAGCCTCAGCAGGTCACAGCATCTTACACCTTCAGTACTGAGATGGCAAAGATGATATTTGACCTTTGTAAATGGACTGCTGTAATAGTGTTTGAAAAGAACTTTGAAGAAGATGCAATAAGTACTGTTACCATCACAACGATCAGAATAATGTTACAAATCCTCTGATATTATCATGACCAGTATAGTACCTGCATACAGGCACTTGCAAGTGTGCCAAATTAGAGATGTTTGTGTTTAAACAGGATGATCTGTACAAGTAGTCCTCAGTTAGTGACCACTTGTTCAGCGACCATTTGAAGTTATGATGGCGCTGAACAAGGAGACTTACTGCTGGTCCTTGAAACTGTGGCCTTCGCAGCATCCTCATAGTCACGTTGGGCGCTTGGCAACTGGTGTGCAATTACGACAGTCGCAGTATCCTGTAGTCACATGATCATCATTTGTGATCTTCACTTCTAGCTTCCAACAAGCAAAGTTGATGGGGAAGCCGGCAGGAAGTCACTAGTCGTGGTCACATGAACTTTTACTGCCAGTGTCAGAAGCCTTGATGCTGGGAGGATAGAAGAGAGAACACCAGAAAAAGGGAAAAAGTAAACAAATCATAGTAAAAAGGGATAGCACAATCTCTGGCAAAATGTCACTGTTGGAAAGTTAGCAGGGCTCTTTTGAACCAATCCTAATGACCTAAAGTTGGATGGCTGTTTAGGAGGTCCAATCCCAAAAGAAAACTCAGAGTAGAGAAACCAATCAGACCTTGGAAGGAGGAACCCCTGGAAAGCAGCCTAGAAGGTGCTGAAAAATCTGACAGCAGGAGAAGGGGAGGATCTCAACATGTGTTTGGCCTCCCAGACCTCAACCTTTTCCAACAGGGTCATCTAGTTTCCAACATCTTTTAATCAGCTCTCACTGAAACATGTGGACAGGGCTGGCTGGCCACCAGCTCTTCTCATACCTGCATCTGCGGCCATTCTTGCTTCTTTGCTCATTCCGAATTAAGAAAATTTGAGCAGGAGTTTTGAGGTTGTAATGGAAATCATTTCTGTATATGTGTGACTTATTAATACACATTAATAAGAATATTAAAAGGGATTATGTCCTGCTACTAGGATGCTGAATGTGCTGCATGAATGAGAACTGGGAACACAGGACAGAACCACAACTCCATAGATGGTTATGAGCTGGAGACTTGAGCTCTGGATGTTAAAATTCTGGCACAGAGACCATAATAAGCTGGAGATGGGCAAAAGGATTTGCTTTATACTAGAGGATGTTATCGGAATTCTGCTAAAACTTTCAGTGGTGGCTTTCCTCCCCTGGCTTTGTGGGGTAATAATCCAAAGTTGGGGTGGCCTTGTAGCTTGCCCTTACCCAAGCACCATAGGGGTAGGAACATTACGTGATGGGAAGGCATGCATGCATGAAGGTTGATGAACCACACTGAACAATTCAAGGAACTGCTTGTTCTTACCATCTCCTGTACTAAGGTGCACCATCCTGGGCACACAGCCTCCTTAAAACAGGAGGACACTAAAACACATCCCTGGGAGGTCTCCTGAATTGGGACACACGTCACACTGCTTATCTCATTGAGAAAGCAGTGTGATTGACTGTGGAGACTTTTGAGCAGTGTGTGCTGGGACTGAGGAGTGCACAAAAGGGTTGAAGGTATTGTAACTTGGAACCACTATCTGTGAAATAGTTGCTGACACATTTTATTGACCTCTGCAGTTGGCGAGCTCACTAGAAATATCAATCCTAGTACAGATAAAAAATGGATTGATTAATAAATGATCATGCTGTCATCAAAGCAGAAGGCCCAAACTCAATTCATTCAAACAGTTCAAACTTGTCATCTTCCTAGCCACTCATTTTCAAGTGACTCCAGTATAAAATATATCAGCTAGAAAGATTATAACATATCTCATAGTGTTCAGTGTGAAACCCACTGGGACCAGTACTAAGGTTTTTAGAATTTGTGAAAACAAATGTTTCTGCTGTTTACAGAAAGCTCAAGATCATCTGAGTACCCTCAGTAGATAATACACATATATTTATGATGGTATCATTGCACTGATACTCCTCATACAACAAGCTTTGTGACTTATGTGTGTGTCTGTGTGCGTGCACACATGGATGTCCCTTGGAATCAGTTTTGACTCCTGATGACTGTCTGGACAAATCCCTACAATTTTCTTGGCAACGTATGTAGGAACTGTAGTCCAAAAGTTTTGGAGGGTACCAGTTTGGGAAAGACTGATCTTGCAATTTATTGGTAAATATCCTATGGTGATGGTGATGATCTTATGATTCATTTCTATTACTACCATTGTAATTACTGCCATTTATGTCTCATATTGACAATTTAAAATTTTCAGATTTATTGCCAAGCTTCAACATGCACCAGGATTCTGACATTTACTGTAACATACTTATTTATATGGGAAATGGAGCCTAGGATTTGCTGAGCTATATTGATTTTTCTCATCTGGCAAAAGTAACCCAGGAGTAAGCAAGAACAGCAGTCCCATTGTATTGTCACTTCCCTCTTTCTACCTTTTTTTCTAACCTCTTTCTGTTTGAAACAACTGCAAAAGTTGCAGTGATGGGGACAGCGATGGCTGTCTTGCTATGCAAGGCTATTTCTAGAGATAAATGCACAGTCATGTTATTTTGAAAAACAGCAATAAGCTAAATTTATTTCGAGATGTTTCCCTTACAAATCCAGATACTTTGCTCTATTCCTAGATGGCCCTGTCAGGAGTCTGATAGATGAACAAATTTTATGAAGTGACCCAAGCTTTTGTGACTGACAGCTCATTTCATCCGCTGTAGCTCATCATGGAGCTGCAGTTCACAAACGCTTATGTAAAAACTACCAGATTTTGGGTTCCATGGACTAACACTGCTCTCCTCCTACCATGTCTAGATGGCTCGGTAGATATCTAAATTATTTTTCTATCCTGTATTAAATCAGAAAGCAAAATCAGCCATTTTCAACATCTGTGGCTATTGAGAATAGTCTCAGAGTTCATCTGCCCTAATAAATACTACTAAAAGACCTTAGCGGTTAAATAAGTATATTGAAAAGTTGGCACTCTTTGTAATACATCTACTTAACTATAATTTCCAGCACCCCCAGCTAAATGGTTAATGGTGATGGATGCTGGGAATTGTGGTTCAAAGGCCTGGAAGGCCAAAGTTCCTGATCTCTGATAGAAAGCATGCATTATATGGGTGTAATAGACCATGTGTTTCTTGATTTGGGATGCTATGATTTGGCCCATTCCACAGGCCAGGAATGTAGCATGTAATTACATGGTTTCAGTTGTCTACACTTTAGTTTCTACTAAAAGCTAAACTCTACTTTTAGAATTACTCCCCATTTTTAATGCAATGAATGATTAAATGAATCCAGAAGATTCCCTTTTTATTTCCCTGTGCACTTTACAGCAAGAAAAATTTAACCATGAACATCATTTTATTGCCTTATTTATACAGCTGAGATCAGAATACATTAGACAAATAGTGATGGGAACCGTGCTAGGATTATTATCTAACTTGGTTTAATCCAAAAATGACATATGGTGGGGTGGGGGGAGAGCTGTTTTTCCCCAGTGCCTGCAACTTACAGAAGAACCCCACAACAAATTTAGAAAGGACCACCAGAAGCCTTCAACCATTCTAGGATAACATTGATGTGGTAAAACACAAATAGTAGTATATGATTTCAAACTTACTGGCACTTTTGTGGAAAAGAAAGAAGTATGTATTTGTGTGTGGATATTCTTACTGCCCCAGTAAAGGACATCATAGCTTGTGACACTAGCAATCTTTAGATAAAGTACACTGCAGCTGTGGACCGTATAAGATGTGCTCAGGAGATGAAAGGGGGAGAGAAGCAAGGGTAAAGGAGTCCATAGGCAAGGAAGAATGAATGTTTCAACCTCTGCTATGTATTTCCTCTGATTCATGTTTAACCAATCTGAATTTCAGTGCTGATTTACTGTTTGAATGATGTAAATCAACCAAAGCTTTCCTCTTCTCTCCTGGTTTTTCTTAAGGTAGTCAGGAAGAGGCTGGCTACAGCCATCACTAGTTATAGTCACGAATCTTCTGGATGTGAAATCAGAAGGTCAGGTTCTTGATCCGCTCCAAGATGAGAAAGAGACAGCTACCAGAAAACAACAAAAAACATTATTTATTAAAGAAATAATACTTGAACAATTGTCTTCAGTTCTTATTATCTTGATATTTGTATGATCGTCATCTCAAGAGCAATCTTGGATCATGAAAAAAATCTGTAATAGTATAAATGATTATGAATGCTTGGGCTATTAATGGCTGCTGTCTTGTTTTTTGAGTATGGATAATTATTATGTAGGAAATAACATCGGAGTCAGACAGAGCTTGACAGTTTGGTGGCAGTAAACATTCTAGGTAGCTTGATACATTTTTATAGGTCAATACAAAAGAGTTCACAAAAGACTATAATAGACACACATGGTTGGCAAAAATGATCTCCTGTCTGTGCTGTAATTTCTGAAAAGTCTTATCTGATTCAATTTAGAATAACAACCCATATTTATGAAGAACTGTTCCATTCTTAGAATCTAGGTAAGCTCTCTCACACAAAATTGAATCTCAATACTGGAGAGGTACAACACACATCTGACTGATCTGTCCCCAAACCACTTGCTTTGTACTGACATACCTGGAAATCCGGGAGTTAATGATGCAATTGAGTGAAATGAAGTCATTAGTTATGCTTTTGCTCCTTCTGTCTCTGGAATCTGGCCACTGGAGCATTTTCCTCTCCTGTACCATACATGCACCCAGACTATAGCAGCTAGCATAATTAGAAAGATGGGTATTTTCAAGATGATCAGGATTTGAAAATCGAGGCTGCTGAGCTGATTTCTAAACAGAGAAATGTTCCACCATTTTATTTTAAATTGATCTCCATTATGACAAGTAAAATGAGTATAAATTAGCCATTCGCTTATTTCACTTTTAATTTATATTGATCTTTTAGTATAAATACAGATTACAAATAGAATGAATAAGGACCCATACTTGTCCCAAGTGATTGACCAATATCTATAAGTCAGATTTTGTTTACTAAGTAAGATGCTGAAAGGCAGGCCTGCCTCCAGATCAGGAAGAATCTTTCTTAGAGGATGAGGATAAAAAGATGAAAGGGGAATAAAGTAGCTCTAGTCAATGGATCTAATCCATCAACTCATACAAGCTGGATTTGGTCTTTAAGTCAGAGTAGCTGTTATGTGATCTGAAAGCAGAGGACATTGTGATCAGTCCTTTGCCAAAGTCAGATCATTTACTGCTCAACATATAATGTGTTGGCATCCTTGACCTCTATGAGGATGGAGGACTAATTGCATGGTCTGTCTCAGCTGCCTGGTAGATCCAGTCGATTTTTGGCAGGGGCTTGAGGATTTTCCTAGTGATTTGGTGGGCAGTTCTACCACAAACCTTGTTAAGCTCTTGAAATCTGAGATGGTGAGGGTGCTGGGTGAGAATGCTCCTGAGTGGTCTATCTCTGTGTTCCAATCTCAAGGGACTCCTTTGATTACTGAAGAAATATGGGAAATGAAACAGCAAAGAAGTACCGCCTAGAGTAAGAGTGGTGGAAGACAAGAAGTGAATATAATTGAACCCTGGAAGGAACTCACTGTGGGGATTAAGAGCAGTAAAGGGAATGTACTTGTTGCATTGACTAACTGTCATCAGGTCTGCACCCTATTAGGGTCGGATGGCCTTCCTGCAGGAGGCTGTGACATTAAAGACATTTTGCAGATAAAATCACCTATATATGTTCTGGGTTAGACTCCATTTGGGGAAAGTTCCATGAGGAGACTGGGGTAGTGTCATGACAAGTCATCTGGGATTGTTTGTGGACTCTAAGGAAGTGGATAAGCTTCTCTAAACATGAGGTTTGTCACTTGTGAGTGAAGTCCAGGCCTCACTTGGCTTCTTTGGCAGCTAGGGCATGTGTATGGGGTCTGTGTGTGTTTGGATTCAGGAGATGATTCTTTGGAAGAAGGAGTAATTCCAGCTGCCTTGCAGGAGGCAATTTGTACCTCCTCCTGAAGAAATTATCTCTCAATCTGACTGCACTAGCCAACTTCTGCCTGGGTTCCAGTCTTGTCTTTTTAGGGAACATTTTGGGAGAAAAAGGGGGATCAATTGCAGAGAATCCCACATGGAATGGAGTATCTGGATCCCTATTCAGTTTACATTTCATCCTGGATATGGGATATAAACAGCATTGGTTGTCTGGTGGGAGACTTTTGTTGGGACCTGGATGGAGGGAAGACAGCTCTTCTGGCCCTATTAGACCTTTCAGTGACATTCAGTACCATCAACCATTGTGTCCTGATGGGTTGGGGTACATGGCATGGCTTTACAATGCTTCCCCTCCTTCCTGAGTGAATAGTTCTCATCAGTAATGAAGAGGGAAGAGCATTCAAGCCTCTGGCCACTCTTGTGGAGCTCCACATGGTTCAGCTTTCACTCCAAGCTATTTAATATTTAGACGAAACTGCTGGAAGACCACTTCAGCTAAATATCCACCCCACTGGTATGGGGTAAAACATCACTGGCATGTTGCTGATACTCAGTTGTAGATCTATATCCAAGCCACACTGGAGATATTCTAGAGGTCTTCACCCAATATTTTAACTGATATATTCTGGTATATTTTCTTGTGCATCAGCTGCTGGATGCCTCAAGTGGAGAGTGCAATTTATAGATTCAGCAAACCAATAAACTAATGCATAAAGTATTATATTTTGGTAGAATGGGAGAAATGGAGAAGATGTGCAGATTGTGGTCTCCGGCATGCAGCTGGGGGAAAATTAACAGGTGCCTTTCCTGTGTTCTGAATTTTCACATTTTTGCTATTGGTCATGATGGCCAGCTTGCCCAGGGGTAATCAGATTACTGCTAAGCTATAGTATAATTTGGCATTCTGTTTTACTTAGGAAGTATTCACTGGAAGACTGTGTCTGGAATTTTCCTTGGAACATCATATGTAAGTAAATAATTAGAATACCTTTCAGGAGTTAATGTAGATTCACTTGGTTCTTCTGTTCTACGTTCTTCATTTCTAGATGTAGATGTGGAAGCATCATCTATAGAGAATAACATATTTTGTCACATTCTAATGAAGGAGATAAAAATGAATGCATTCACATTTCCCAATTTATGTAGTTATTAAAGAGGTGTCAAACTGGATTTAGACTGTCCTGAAGATTATGATAATAATAAAGACTGCACTTTGCAACATGCAGTTTAGGAAATATGGGACACAGTGATCTATGAATTCATCCATGATGTGCTCCCTACCTATGGCCAAACCTATGAAAATCATGCAAGTATTGTATTGTGTATCTAGATACATTAGGACACACCTTTCAAAATTCCCAGCCAATGGTTCTGCTGATTTAAAGTATTTATATATATTATATCATAAATTATTATTCAAAGCCACTTACAAATGTCCCATTTGAAAGAGCAAAAAACACACCGTAAAATAATTAATTCTGTCCACAAAATTGCTAGAACAAAAACCCTGCCTCTTGTTGCTATAAAAGCAAGTCTTGCGTGATAAAATAGAGCATGTACTGTAGAGAATACAAACAGTAAGGAATTGCCTTTACTTGAGCGTATAAAAGCTCTTCAGTTATAAATTAAAGGGAGAAAAGCCCCAAGAATGTTTGAGGTGAGTGGGGGATGTACGCGCTGAGGCAGGAGAAGGATCCATTCTTCCGGCTCATGCCACTTCCTCCTGCTGGGCGTGCTCTCCCATTCTCTTCTCCCCTTGCTACAGTTGTATCACGCTCATCTTTCAGATGGCTGCCCCATGGAGATTGCACTGAGGACCCTCAAGTCAATGCATTGGGTGGTTGCTATGGCAGATGCCTGCAGGGAGAACTCCTGTGGCCACTCCCCTAGTGGATGGTAGGGAGACAGGCCACACCAGACAAGTACATTTATGCAGCTGCTCTGGACAGTGGGTTGAGGCAGCAGCTAATAAGGGGTTGGCAGTTGAAGCCAGCCTTTTATTTTGTCTAAAAGGTGCTTTTGAAGAATAACTATGTTGGTATATAAATTCCAGCCCAATTGTTTTTCAAGAAGATTGCACTTTATGCTTGGTGCTTATGCAGATAGGCAAAGAGCGATGCCCCTGAATGCCGGTTTCTAGAAGTAGTCATGTTTCTGGGATGTCACGAGACTCCATTTACATATTTTTACATTATTTCTACAAACTTAAGAGGCTAGAAGGTTGCTATCTTTTAAAAAGGAAGCTGCAGTTCTCTAAAATCTAAGCAAAACCAATAGCCAATAAATACACTGTTCTAGTGTTAGGTAGAAACCATAGTGTGTTGTCTTCCTGTGGATGCACAGTGACTTTCCTCCTAAAACAGTAACTACAGCAAAGGATACCTGCAGTAATGATTAGTTCCACTGGCCACCAGATATCGTATCTCCTCTCTACCCCACAAAGGTAAGTCCCGGCATCGTTGTGGGTGAGGTTCTCCATGACCACTCTGAATATATGAAGCACATGGATGTCTTTGATGGACATTCCATTCCGCTTCACCTCTGTCTCTGATCCAGTTGTTCGGATGGTGCGGTTTCTAGAACAGAATCTGAATTTTTCTTCTTTGCACCAGTATTTGACAGCTCGTTCATCACCTCTTCCATATTTGCAGTGGACAATCACTGAGCCACCAGGGGGTGAAAACACTGATTCAGGATGCTCCAGCGTCCAGCAAACTGAAAAATAGTTACAATAACCATTTTTACTAAAAATAAAATAGACCCCAGAAAGATACAGTGCATTCAGAGTTCCACTTAAGTCTCTATAGCCTGTATGAAATTAATTGGAAAAAGAGGAAATAATTTATTCGTCTTTCCTAAAGTTATTGCTCTTCAGAAGTGTTCATCTTCAAGTCCCATTATCCCCAAATTAAGAAGGCTTGTGAACTATTGAAATTTGGTCCCAGAAGTCTGAAGAACACCAGGTTAGTCAAAGCTGATTTATATAATCACTTTTCTTAAAGAGGGGTCCATCATGGATTTCTCTCAATTTGAAACACGGTGGTCTACAAAACTGGATTCAGCCTCCCCAGTGTGTCCAGCAACCTTGAACACAGTGCCTGCCTGCAATCCCTTTTCAGCAAGCAACGTTCATAGCCATTAGCATCCCTTTGAAAAAGATGCATAGCAATTGGCAAGCAGGGAACAATGAAAACAAATCAAAGATTGAGCAAGACCCATATGAACATCTTATTTCAAGGGTAAATGAAACTTCTTTGGTGAGGAAATTTCACAGGCAGCCCCACTGCTGAGAAAATTGGGCCAGGTGAAGAAAATGAAAAACACATGTGGGGTGAAGGGAAAGCTTGGAAAACAGGAGGAACGAAAGGAAGAAGGAAGCATTCAAGAATGCATGTCCCTTCTATCCCACCCCCTGTGGGATCCCTTCTAAGCCCTCCTCTGTTTTGAGACTGGAACTGAATGCCATTTATCCTTCTTCTTCTTTATATAACTATCCTTAATGAAGGCTTATTAATGTATGTTTGTCCTGGGAAGGCATTACCCATTTTAATACATTTTCAGACAAATGGATTTTTCACCAGAGAAAGGCTGATATTCAGCATTGCCTTTCATACTCCAGGAGACTTTCTTTGATCAATCTCATCTCACAAATCCATTCCCATAGAAACATTTGGTTGATTTTTATTAAGAATTTTGATTATAATAATAAAATCTAACATGAACTAAATGTAAAGAAAGAAAAGAAAATAGAGAGAAAGAATAGAAAATACAAGGAAAAAGAAAACGAGGAAAGTAAGAATATAATAAAGAAAGAGAAAAGAAATATTTAAAGAAGTGAGTTCCACACTTCATCACAATAAGTATAAACAAATTTAGTAACTCTTCACCCCCTCTAAAGTTACAGACATTTATCTCTTCATCCCTTATCCCATCTCTTATCTATAAACAAATCCATAAAATATCATCTTTTCAGTCCTTTTGTCAGCAGAAAGTCCAAAAGGGTAGCCAGAAGTAACAACGTATTTTATTTTAACCTTGATCAAATAAACCAACTTTATATTCCTTTTACTTCTAGCAGTTTTAATCCTTAGTTTGTTCAAATATTGTTGTAGGATATGATTTCTCTTCATTTCTTCTTTTTCCCATTGCATAGAGTTCTTCAAGGCTTTGGGCTGATTTTTTTCTTCCTTTTAATTATCCCTGGTGATATCAGGCTGGGGGGTCAGAATAAATGGAAATAGGCTGAAAAAGGTTGCCAAACATTCGAAGGATGGTAAAGGAAAATATCACAAATTGAAGCATGGGTATGAAACATTAACATCAGCTCAGAATAAAATGATTGCCTTTGACCCACCACAAAAAATGTTTGGGAAAGAATAGATCTGTATTACTTACTTAGAATGATATTTAAATGGCTATGCATTCTTTTTTTAAAAAAGAAAAAATCTGGTATATCACTTACCCAACTGATTTTTCAAAGGATTCTGAAACCAACAGTTATTAGGTCAGTAGACGAAAACATCCCCCAGCCCCATCTGCATTCCTTGATATAACTGTAGCCAAAAGCTTCTAATACGTATCTATTTCACATTGTACAGATTCTCTATTGCATCTTTCTACAGCTGAAGCATAAACTGGTGTCCCTAGATTCTAATGTTCTATATTCAAATTTATGCCTTCCTTTCACAATTTTCTCATCTGCCAAAAGGCCCAGAGAGAGACTGTACACCACATCACTGGCTAAATTGTCCAAGGTGCATGTATCTTAGTTGAAGGTAGTTGCTCCCAAATCTAATTACTCCCCAGTTCCAGTACTTCTCACCATGGAATAAAGTCCAAATCAAGCCATAGAAGAGTTTCATTGTTCTTGTTCAAGTAAGTTCGTTTTTGCAAAAATGTAGCTTCTCTCTGTAAATTGTTTCCGGAATCTTGTTTCCCTTGCATCTCAATCACAGACCTGGGAGATTTTTTGCTTTGGAAAGTGTCTGTGGTATTCTGTTGAAATAGCTAGTTTTTTCAGATCTTGCTCAATTTTTAAAAAAGAAAACACATCATTACTAACCCTCAAACTGGCAAATTAGTAAAGTAGAAACTGCAAACTCATCCTCAGAATAGAAAAGTACCCAGATTTTACAATTATTGACTAATACACCAGTCTTAGATCCTTCCTATTATACACATCGACATGGATAACACCAGATTTTGGCCCATTCACTGTTGTGGTAGCTTTTGTTTGTAATTTCTTGAGCTATAATGATTCCAGCCATTTAGTTCTAGCCACTTCTGAAGACAGAAAATGGGAATAGTATTTCACTGTTTTCTTGTAGACCACAACAATTCTTATCATATCACTATTCCTTACCAATGTGGTTTATGTGTCTTAAAGCAAATAACTCAAGTCTTGCATAGTTCAAAGAGGTTTACTTCTTAGCCCAGCAGATAATATAGCCTCAGTTATTCATTCCCTGGCATACCCAGGTTAGACTATTATAATGTACAGTATTGCATGTGGGCTCGCCCCTCTAGGGAAAGTCTGGAAATCCTAGTTAGTTTCAAATATACCTGCATGATTGCTGACAAAAATCAGGACCTGGGAATGTATTAGAGTCATAGGGATGCTGTAGGGGCAGCTAAAGCTGAGATCTTTTCACTGAGTGTGCTGTAGTGATGCAATTCTGCTCAGCAAAGAATCAGACGACGCTGTGATGGCGCATAACGATCCTGACCCTTGAATTTGTTCTTTTGAAAAACCTTTGTTCAGTTATCTCTCTGCCCCAGAACTAGCAGTAGAAGTTAGCGCAGCCAGGCAGTTGGAAGGTTTTTCCAACCTCCTGAAGGAGAATGTCAGGAGTGAAGCTAATGATTCTAACCCAGATATGTCTTTTCAGGGCAAACAAAGCCCTAGCTGAGCCATATGGTGTCAAATTGGGCAACTACCCTCTTCACAAATGCATTTTCCCAGGAAACTACACTGTCACCTATTTAGAAGGCAAACCAACACATTTAGAAGGCAAACCAAAAGAGTGGTTTGGATTACTTTCTAATATTGGATTTACCAAAGAGATCTGTTAAAGTTCTGAAGGAATTTGTGAGAAGGGACAAAGAAAAAATAAAAAGAAAGAAAGCTCTGGGACATTATTTGTAGGGATTAAAGATCAAGATTGTTTAAAATAAAAGGAAGGAATATAAAGTGGGTTTATTTGATCAAGGTTAAAATAGAAATATTGTTATTTCTGGTAACTGTTAATGGACTTTTGCTGACCAGGACTCAATGATGAGGTTGTAAGGATTTGTTTATAGGTTAAGAGATGAGATATCGGGTGAAGACATTGTTGTATTTTAAGAGAAGGTGATAAGCTGTTAAAATTATTTATACTAGTGATGAAGGGGGAAGTCACATCCTTATGTATTTCTTCTCTTTTATTTTTGGGTATATTTTTACTTTTTCTT